CAATATTAATTCTTCCAATCCATGAACATGACATGTCTTCCTATTATTTTTTGTGTGTGTCATCTTCAATTTTTCATCAGTGTTTTATAGTTTTCCTTATATAGGTTTTTCACTTCTTTGGTTATATTTACTCCTAGATATTTTATAGCTATTATAAATGGGATTGCTTTCTTGATTTCTTTTAGATTATTTGCTGTTGATGTATAGAAATGCTACTGATTATTGTGTGTTAATATTGTATCTTGCAACTTTACTGAATTTGTTTATCTGTTCTAAAGATTTTTTGGTGGAGTCTTTATGTTTTTCAAAATATAAGATCATGTCATCTGCAAACAAGGATGATTTGACTTTTTTCCTTTCCAGTTTGGATGCCCTTTATTTCTTTCACTTGTCTAATTGCTCTTGCCAAGACTTCCAGTACTATGTTGAATAACAGTGGTGAAAATGGTCATCCTTATATTGTTCCAGATATTAGAGGAAAGGCTTTCAGTTTTTCCCCATGCAGTATATTAGCTGTGGGTTTGTCATAATATGGCCTTTATTGTTTTGAGGTATGTTTTTTCTATACTCAGTTTGTTGAGAGTTTTACCATGAGGGCATGTTGAATTTTGTTGAATGCTTTTTCATTATATATTGAAAAGATTATTTGTTTTTTGTCCATTCTGTTAATGTGATATATTACATTTATTGATTTGCATGTAGTGACCCATTCTTAACATCTCTAGGATTAATTTCACTTGACCATGGTGAATGATCTTTCTAATGTATTGTTGAATTTGGTTTGCTCAATGCTTTATTAAGGATTTTTGTGTTTGTGTTCTCCAAGGATATTGGCCTATAGGTCTCTTTTTTTATTCTTTCCATGTCTGGTTTTGGTATCAGGGTAGTGCTGGCCTCTTAGAATGAGTTTGGAAATAGTCCATCCTCTTCAATTTTTTGGAATAGTTTGAGTAGAATTGACATTAGTTCTTTAAATGTTTGGTAGAATTTGGGGGTGAAGCCTTCAGGTTCTGGGCTTTTCTTTGATGGGAGACTTTTTGTTATTGTTTCAATCTCTTGTTATTGATTCATTTCAGGTTGTCTGTTTCTTCATGGTTGAGTCTTGGTAGGTGATATGTATCCAGGAATTTATTCATTTCTTTTAGGTTTTTCAATTTGTTGGGATATAGTTATTCATAATTGTCTCTAACGATCCCTTGTATTTCTATGGTATTAGTTTTAATGTCTCCTTTTTCCTCTCTGATTTTATTTGGGTCTTCTCTCTCCCTTTTTTTGGTCTAGCTAAAGGTTTGTCAATTTTGTTTATCTTTTGAAAAAAACAACTTTCTGTTTTGTTGATCTTTTGTATTTATTTTAGTCTTAATTTTATTTATTTCTGCTCTTTATTCTTTCTTTCCTTCTACTAACTTTGGGTTCGGTGTGTTCTTTTCTAATTCTTTGAAGTACATCGTTAGGTTGTTTATTTGAAGTCTTTCTACTTTTTTTTAAGCATTTATTGCTGTAAACTTTCCTGTTAGTATTGCTTTTGCTATATCTCATAGGTTTTGTTATGTACTGTTTCCATTTTCATTTGTTTCAAGAACTTTTTAAATTTCCTTCTTAATTTTTTCATTGACCCGCTGGTCATTCTGGAGCATGTTGCTTAATTTCCATGTATTTGTACAGTTTCCAAAGTTCCTCTTGTTACTGAATTTTAGTTTTATTCCATTGTGGTCAGAAAGGGTACTTGTTAACAATAGAAATCATTTTTATGAAATCTGAGATAATTCTTCTAAGACATTTTCTTATTGGCAGCCATAAGGAGAAAAGAGAGGGTGGAGTTTATTAATATGGAGTTAAGAATGATAATTTTGACCTGTTTCAATCCCAGTTTGTAGTTTTGTAATTGTAGGCAAGTTATACTTACCTTCTCTGGTACCCACTTAATTCTGGTATCACTGAATTTGGAAAGTGGTAATGATGATACCTACTTAATAGAGTTTTAAGGATTTTGTGGAGAAAAAATATATGAAGCTCGTAGCACAATGCTTGGCAGATAGAACATGCTCAACAAATGCTAGTTATCTTCCATTTTTATCTCAATTTTCCAGATTTATTTTAATTGTTCAATAATTTATAAATTAGTTATATCACATTAAAGAAAAATGCTGACCCCATTAAAAATATGCTTAAAATAGTGAAAGTTTGTGTATAGTAAGTCAAAATAAACAAATGGTTTTAAGGTCCATAATATATTTGAGTTTAGTTTGCTTTCTTCTAACTTGAGTATGTGTAGCTTAAGCACTTATGCCAAATTTCCTTGCCCCTTTGACCCTTTTTTAATATTAGGATAAAAAGTGAACTAAGCAATCTTTCTGTTTATTCTGATGCCTATACTTTTCTAAGATCATATTTGACCTTAAATATTTCTCTGAATAGATTTTAGTATAGTGGTATTAGTTCCTGTGCTTTGTTTGTACAGCTAAATATATCAAACTCAGCAATTTTGTGTGGGTGTGGCAGGGAGTGGAGAGATTAGTAAATGACTTTTAACTTGTATTCATCAAAATATAACTATATATTTTAGAGAGAAAAAATAGTAGTTATATCTCTTGAGTTCATGAAAACTTGGCTGATTTTTAATAATTAATAAGTTTTCTCTGCCAGTGAGCATTAGATTACTGCTGACTTTTTAGAGTCATAGTACCTTGTGGTAGTTTCTCTACCACAAGGGTTTAAAGGTGTATGCTAGTTTTTTTTTTTTTTTTTTTTGCCTGTCCTGTCCCTAGGAAATCATCCTTACAAATGCTATATGGAGATTACCTCTAGAAGTTCATAAATGACATTAATATATTATAGGGATTGGTCAGTTCCATTGTCTTCTTTTGTCAATCTTGATCGGAGCTTGCCGAGTAAGTCTATAAGCCTGCATGTGCCTGGCAACTGTTACCTAGTGACAGTTTCAGCTGCAGTAGCCATTGGCTGTGCTGTTGATTGGGGCAGGAGGACCGAGTCACCTTTCTGATGGTGAGTTCTTCTGCATCAGCCCAGGATGAGGAGGAGGAGCAGGGCTCGGGCTCAGGTGGAAGCATTGATGCTGAGAGATTGTGAAGAATGTACTGACAGCATCCTTGTAACTGCATCACACAGTAAATCGGACTTCTGAATCAAGCAGCCCAGCCTAGCAGCTGATAAGAGTGAATGTAGGTGAGAAGCATTACCTTATTCCTGTAACAAGAGAACTATTTTGTGATAAGTGAAAGTAGGAATGTACAAGAAGTATCCTATGGCTATTATAAAAGAAGAAGGACTTGCCTGACTTGGTGGTGCAGGAGAAAATAACTTTCAGAAGAATGCTTTCTGTTAAGCTGCTGCATTGTTCCTGGAGGAAATGTTTTTATCACTAGTGAATGTTATTTCTTCAAAAGGTATTACAATAAAGACTCACAAGAGACTCTCTGAAATGCCTTTGCTTTAAAAAAGACTTTGGCAAATGTTAACCTGATATCAGAATGACCTTGGAAGCCTTTTGGATGGATTCTGTCCTGCCAGCCTTTCGGTATTTCAAACTCTAGGTCTGAACTCATCTTGATGCTTTAGAGGTATTTTAAAACAAGACTATGTTGCAACCTACCTAATGCCACCTATATTAATTGAACACCTGCTCAAAATAGAATACAGAAATAGAAGAGGCATTTTCTTAACATATGGCTGCTACATAACTGCAAATATAATAAATAAGGTAAATTTCCATTTTCAGAAAATTTGATTGAAGTAATGATTTAATGTGTTAATCATCTACTGAAAATAGAATAGGTATAACAAATAGAATATGAAGCCTACTAGAAATACCAAAGTAATAAATAATTGGAGTATTTCTGTCAAATAAGCTCAGAGTGTAAAGTTTTTATTATTTTCTAAATTTCATATATATTTGTGTATATTTGTGAGATATGAATATGGTTGCAAAGATGAGATATAACTTCGAGTTATATATTTTATTATGCTCCATTGTAAAGAAGATGGCATATCAAATAATGAAAGTTATTTTCAGTTATGGATGCCAAATTAATAGTAAAAAATATTTCTTTTCATTTTAAAAAGGAAGAAGTATAATTTACATTGCTGTTAGTAGCACCAGTAACTGTAGTGGACTAAAACTGTTTTCTTCTAAATGCTTAAAAATGCATGCAGAATTAAAACTGCAGACGTTTACCATATTTTGTCAGGTGTCAATCCATTAATTTATTGTATATTATCTTCCCTATTGGAAAAATACTTTTTTCTCATCAGAGTTATAGGGCAATCTGGAGTCTGTTTGTTACCCCTATTCTGCTCTATTGTGCCCATAAAGAGATGAGTCTTTTCAAATTAACCTTGATAGATTTGTTTTTCTTAGATTTAAAAAAAAAATGAGAGAGAAATAGATCATAAAGTTAACCCACTAGCATCAAACCCTGAACTGAGCTCAAAGACAGTCTTTGCCACAATGAACTTTTTCTTAGCTTTTCAAGAAAATCTGAGATCTTACCTAAATTCTAACATATAAATGCCTTTTTCATCATAGATGAAACAGAAAGCCTGAGACAATTTAAGACTTTTCCTTTTCTCATTCTTTCTAGTTGATCCCTAAGAAACTACCTCTCTCAAGAGAACAAATGACCCACAGAAGCTTTTCTTCCCTTGGCAATTGATTTTTTTCTTTTTACAGGTTTAATTTTTCTTAGCGTAAGATAATAAATCCATTTTTTCTAGAAGTGCCTTGTGTCTGCAAAACTTCGTTGAGCGCACCAAAGGAAGCTAATCAGTGACCTCTTTTCACCTCCTTTCTAGCTTACCTCTCTCCCTTCCCCCCAAAACTGAGGTGTGTCACTGCTGCACTGAGGCTGATGAAGAGACTTGAGCACTCTCTGGGACTCTCAGCTGTGACAGAAGCACTAGCACTGTCTACCGAAGCAGGTTCTGAAGCACTCATGTGCAGCGTTTAACAGATGCTGGGCAGGGCACCTGCTTGCTGTAGCCAAGACTGCAGGTTTCTTTAATTCCAAGCCATGAATGAATCCAGGTGGACTGAATGGAGGATCCTGAACATGAGCAGTGGCATTTTGAATGTGTCCGAGCGTCACTCCTGCCCACTTGGATTTGGCTACTACAGTGCAGTGGATGTCTGCATCTTCGAGACAGTTGTGATTGTCTTGCTGACATTTCTCATCATTGCTGGGAATTTAACAGTTATCTTTGTCTTTCACTGTGCTCCACTCTTACATCATTATACTACCAGCTATTTTATTCAGACGATGGCATATGCTGACCTTTTCGTTGGAGTTAGCTGCTTGGTTCCTACTCTCTCACTTCTCCACTACTCCACAGGTGTCCACGAGTCACTGACTTGCCAGGTTTTTGGATATATCATCTCAGTTCTAAAAAGTGTTTCCATGGCGTGTCTTGCTTGCATCAGTGTGGATCGCTATCTTGCCATAACCAAGCCTCTTTCCTACAATCAACTGGTCACCCCATGTCGCCTGAGAATTTGCATCATTTTGATCTGGATCTACTCCTGCCTAATTTTCTTGCCTTCCTTTTTTGGCTGGGGGAAACCTGGTTACCATGGTGACATTTTTGAATGGTGTGCCACCTCTTGGCTTACCAGTGCCTATTTTACTGGCTTCATTGTTTGTTTACTTTATGCACCTGCTGCCTTTGTTGTCTGCTTCACTTATTTCCACATTTTCAAAATTTGCCGGCAGCACACCAAAGAGATAAATGACCGAAGGGCTCGATTCCCCAGCCACGAGGTAGATGCTTCCAGGGAGACCGGACACAGCCCTGACCGTCGGTACGCCATGGTTTTGTTTAGGATAACCAGTGTATTTTACATGCTGTGGCTTCCCTATATCATTTACTTTCTTCTAGAAAGCTCCCGTGTCTTGGACAATCCGACACTGTCCTTCCTGACAACCTGGCTTGCTATAAGTAATAGTTTCTGTAACTGTGTAATATACAGCCTCTCCAACAGCGTTTTCCGGCTAGGCCTCCGAAGACTGTCCGAGACAATGTGCACATCTTGTATGTGTGTGAAGGATCAGGAAGCACGAGACCCCAAACCTAGGAAACGGGCTAATTCCTGCTCCATTTGAAGATGACTACAGAGTAAATCAAATGAAATCTGACAGTGGTTTTGGATTAGAGTCTTGATTCATCTGGAAATTTGCCACCATAGAAATATTTACTTGAATAGTTGACTGTGAAGTGAAAAATGAGACTAAAGGTTTCTTTTCTTTTTCTTTGTTCGTGGAAGAAACTGAAGGAAGGAAATGTATAGAGGGTTATTTCATGAGTGTGTGAGTATAATTTTGCAGTAATAGGAAAAATTAAGCAATGAGGTTGAAAAAAAAGTATCTTAAATATTTTGTAGGACATGAGCAAGCCCCTCGGCATCTCTCTGTCTCTCTGTCTGACTGTACTCTCTGTCTCTTTGTCTCTTGTTTTGTCTCTCTCTGTTTTGCTCACTCTTTCTGTTTATGGAAGTTATTACTTATATAAATTGCCTTTTATAGAAAAATGCTACATATTATATATGTGTTAAAGAATAATCTTTTGCATCAAAGTGTACTTTTAAACACACTAATCTGCCATCCATAAGTAATCTCTTCATGGAGGATGTGCAGTAAGCATTGTATTTTATTACTTGCCACGCAACCCTTTTGCTTGTGTTTTTATTATCTTCTCTGTAGCACAAGTTATCTGCTACAAACAAATAGAAACAGTATTTTTGTTTCTCTGGGTAAAATGACATTTGCTTTTTCCCCTTTTCGAAACAGCTTGCTATTCTTTTTTTTTTTTTTTTCTTCTATCTTTCTTTTTCTCAATCTGCATCCTTTGGTACCTTCAGAAGAAGTATCTTAGCTAATGAAAGAATCTACTGTATAAAGCAACCATAATGTTAAATAATTTATTCTTTTCAACAAAGCAATCTGGTAGTCTGTTAAATATTTTTAATGGTTTTTGGAAACATTTTTATCTGGTTCCTTTTAAATTAGTTCATGTGCCTAAAAGTGACGTTTTAATTTTTGTTTTTGTTTTTGTTTTTTTTTTTGCTATAGTAAAGCTTTGTTTTTCTTTAACAAAACCCATGAGTAATTTTAATGCAGATGAAGAGTACTCACCCAGCAGTGAGGTATCAGTCTTAATGTTACTTGGAATGACCTGTTTAAAAAAAAACCAAACAGTAAAACATTAATCTTTCTGTGTTAGGTCTACAATAGCTTACTGCTGTGTCCACTAGTCATTTGTGTGATATGCGTTTGCACATACGATATTTATTACAGCAAAGAAAATGTAAATTATATTATGTGATCTGTGCCTGATGTTTTCTTAGCACAATATATAGATCAATGTTGTTTAAGTTGTCAACATTGGAAAAAGTATATACAAAAACTTATTTTAAGAGAAAAATACTTTTGTGTAATTGTTATTTAGATATTTATACTAGACGAAGCTGCATTTTTAGTGCTGCTGAGAATATAATATACTTTATCAAATACAGGTAAAAGCTGTCAGTATTCTATTTTGTAATGATCTGTTTTCAGATGCAGAGATTAACTTATTTTTTAGTGTGCTAAATGAGGTTGTGTAATAAATTGTCAGGGGTTTAGATATAGCAAAGTGGCATTTGGGGAATTAGTAGTGAAACAGGTATGAGCAGTAAAACAGCTATATCTTACTTTTTTAACCATAAGTTTCCTGCCTGAAAGATATTTTAAAATTTATATCAAACTACTGAGTATTTTTCTTCTCAGCATTTTTGATTTCTTTGTTTTATGAAATGCATTTAACAAAATGTGCCTATGACTCTTCAATTAGAAGCCAACCAACCGTGTTTGCGCACTGGCGGTTTGACTGCAGAAGTCCTTTAGTAGAAATGCTGTCAGTTTACTGAGGTTGTTCTGAACCCCTGTATATTTTTAAACATGTACAAAAGGTTTAAAATAAAGAATAAAATATTCTATATATCAAAATCAGACTTTGCTTCAGTTTAATGAAACACTTCCTCAGAACAGGAGTTTACTTGTTTGGGAATCAAAATATAATTGTTTTACACTCTATAGCTTGAGTTTATATTTATTCTTGTTCCCTGTTTGCTTGACAGTGGCATCATGGGTGAGTTGAAGCGTGCCTCTTAAATTCAGACCAGTTGAAGAAAAACATAAAGTTCAAGGAAACATACCATTGCTAATTTTTCAGGTGTCGTAAATAAAACATTCAACATTGGACATATTATTTGGGAATCAGATTTTGATTTCTTTAGTTTAGGGTATAAGTGTAGTTAGAAAAGACCCAGTAGGTCCTGTGTACAGAAATCGTGAGGCCATACTATTGCATTTTCCTCCTCTGGCTTTTTCTCATAATTATGTGCCAGGCTCAGTGCTAAGTTTTACATGTGTTGTAACATTTAATCCTCACTGCAACCTTTTGAGATAGTTCTGTTAACGTTCCCACTTCAGAGACGAAGAAACTAAAGAAAAGTCATTTATCCAGAGTCACTCAACGGTCAGTGGCAGAGGTTGCTGCACACTCAGTAGGCCTCGAGCCAAACCTGGACCCTTCACCAGTATGCTGCACTGTTTTCTCTTCATAAGCCTTCAAACCTTTTGCCCTTGCACATTCTCCCTACAAAAATTTCTCTGAGTTTTATTTCTGTTTTCTTGCCCCAAGTCTTTTCCTTCAGTTCTTTTCTTACGATATCTTTTTCTTTGGTCTTAATGTTTCTTGTATTAAAACAGCAATCTGATAAGCTCAAACTACCAGTTTAGCTTATAATCAAACTGAAACTCTTGATATTACTTTTGTTCATTTTTGTTGTTTTCCTTGAATAGCTTTTTCAAATCTCTATGAATTTCTTTTTGAAAAAAAATTTTTTTTGAAGGGGAAGGGTGGAAAGGAAAGGCTTTGTCATAGGCTGAGTGAGACAAGTGCTAGGATTGGCTTCTTCATTTACTGCAGTGTTCCATGTGCACCTCTAAGGCAAGCCCCTTAACTTCCTTTTGACATATTTTAATGTGTTTATAAAATAAGGTAATACTTATTTCCAAACTACTCTGTCTTTTTTAGGTTAATGTGTTTTAAGAATAGGAAGCATAATTATTATTCCCATCATATTCTATGGTAAATATCCAGTTTTGTTATAAATGATAGCCAAAAAATAAAATAATGCTCTATGCTTTTATTATATTTTAGCATTCTATTATTTGTATAGTTGTTTCTAAAGTTATTGAGTATTGGAAGTCTTTTAATTTACTAATGTATGAAACCTGGGCTGAAATCCAGGCCCTCATAAGCTGCTTGGCCTTAGGTAAGATACTGAATGTTCCAAATCCTTAGTTTTGGCATTGACAAAAAAAAAAAAAAGGAGCCAGAGACTTGTACCTCCCTGTTCAGCTGGATTTGAGGACTAAATGGGATTTTGTAGGGTAAGTGCCCAGCACAGCTCCTGACACATCGAAAGTGGTCAGAATGTGGTGGCAGCTGTTTTATTATCTTCGTGGGTGCCATGTTTATTACCATCACAATTTAAATGTCACTAATCCCATTCAAACAGAATTAATTCATTGCACATTAGGTTTTTCTAAGATAGCATATTTTTCTCCCAAATCTGTCTAAACTTAAATTTTGAGTTAAACTCAGATATTTTAAATATAGAAAAGTTTTATAATTTCTGAAAGCTCATTTCCCAGGAATAATTATTCATGAAGACATCATTTGAGATTAAAGATATCTAGCAAAAAGATGTTGAGATGAGACAGTCAGGGATGATTCCAAGATTAACCTGCCTCCTTACTTTATTATATTAAATGTGCCTAAACATTTTTTTCTCATTAAGGTGGCAGTACTAGGAAAGGATGACCATGAATGTCTTATCATTAGTCTTTGCATTTTAATTTTCTTCATTTATTAAAATGGAATTTGAGCTATTTTATCATATACTATTTATTATATAGAAGAAAGATTGATTAATAAGCTAATTTGCTCTACAGATACCATTAATTACATCAGTTTAAAAATAAATGAAGTTGTTGTCTTAAAGGACTTTCCTCTGGCCCTTCTCACCCTGGAAGTTAATCATTAGATGTGAAAAAGGTACAATTATGTAATAAGCAGGTAAAAAAGATTAAAATGTGTGGAATCTGCTAGTGTAACATTCTGAGCGTAGCATCACCTGTGTTCAGATAGGGCCATTTTGGTGCACAGGAGCATGTGTTAGTGAGTTAATGCTATATTCTAATCTGTAGGTTCCAACAGATGCTTTTTTCTCTGAACAAAACTTTATTTTAGGATTAAGAAGGATATGTAGAAAATGGCATATTCTATAACCAAATGTATAGATATTGAGGAAAACAGAATGGCTAGAAAAGAAAAATTCCCTTTTTAATATTTCTTATGAAAGATTGATTCAGTGCTAGTTTTACTCTATAATTTAAAATATATAGCACTTTCAACAGTAAAAGTGGTTGTCTTTTAAAATTTTAAAAGTGATGTAATAGAATTGTTTTGTTACTACTGTTTAAGATTTTTTTTTTTTTTGCAATTAGCATTTGTTTCTTTCATAATCAGGAAAAGAATGTTAATGTTTTACTAAGAAGAATGCCGAATATTTTAAAAAATATTTTGACATTTCACAAAACAGCTTATGTTGATACTACAAGTAACAATATCTAACAATGTTCCAGTGCCATCTTATAAAGATAGTATTCATAGAGTTGTCTGACTACTGTAATATTTGTTATTTCAGGTAGATTTTTCAGAGAAACTTGATGACCTTCCCGCATTATTAGATGTTCTTGACTTGTTTTTGTTTTAACATGAATGGTTTCAAATGTTACTTGGTAAATCTGAAATGGATCTCATTCACTGTGGGATTTTTAAATGCACCATGGTTGGCACCTTACAGTATTTTTCACATCTTTAAACAACAAAAGGGTGGTCCTGTGTTGGGACATTGGCTCCAGCTGGCATGTTACCCGCATTTCCTAGATTGGCAGGATTCTGCTTTCAGTGCCCCACCTCCAAAGACCGTATTTATAACTGTTTTATGGTAACTTTCATTCTGTTTTTATGTATGATTCCCTACAAAGGTGAAGAAAATCACAGTAATAACTTTGTCAGGAGTCTGTTATGTCTGATAAATATTTAACATGCAAGGCACACGTGGTATCAGTACTTTCACTGTAGTAAGTGGAGCCAAATTAGTTTTTGAGATTCTATAATTCTCAAATTTTTAAATGATAAATATCAAGAAACCTAGTGCATAATGGTGGAATTCCTTGAATGGAAATATTTGCTAAGATTCTAAACTTCTAAAAGTAATACTTTATACAAGAGCAAGAGAAATATCTATCATTGACTTAAGAAATTTGACCTCAGTTTTATTTTATGTTTTCTGCTTAAACAAGTATAAATAAAGTTGATACC